GACAACAAATATGTGTTTAAAGAAGCATGACACATTTCTGAGCCAAGAATGTGTATAAAACATTATTTTTTATAAAGAATATTTGCTTTATAATTGCAATAATATTTACCAAGAAAGGTGAACAATTATTTCAGTCCAGTTTCTGAATAGTTCAAATAATCATATTACCTCAATTCCACAATTTAATCACTCCTTTCTATAGCGAAATCTCGACTAGAAAAAACATTGGGCCTGTGAGACCCAGAGTACCACCGGTGTAGGAATCAGGTACCGCACCAACGAAGGGTTGATAGTGGCTGTCCAAAGTATGCATTTCCGCCAATAGTTCGTCGAATGCTCGTCTTCCTGAGCCTGCGCAAGGCTTCCTCCTTGCAGTGCCTTGGGTGACCGTCAGATTGCGCCACTCGACGTCATTGCCAGGTTGACTGCACACTGAGAGCCTCGTAGAGGATGGAGTGGGAGAGATGCGGGAAGCCCATCCCGCCGCCCCACAGCGATCAGCTAGCGAATGTGTGTGCACCTTCGGGTTTGTGGTGTTTTCTCAGCGAGAGCTACTGTACAGGAATAGTATGGAAAAAATTAGTAGCGAGATAGCGTAAAGATGGGGGGTCTTCATTGCAAGCCTGATGTGATTTTGACTATGTGACATTGCGTGAAGCCTTGTCCAATCAGGTGATGAAAGGAGACCGCATGTTTATCGGTTGTTGAGGCATGACCAAAATGTTTTACGTAACCTGCGTTTTTTTTAAAAAAAAATATGATCTCTGAGCTAATGAAGCTGTCAATGTGAAGTAAACATGTTGCGACATTGATGGCAAATATGACATGTTGTAATAGTAAGTACTATTGTAATTTATAATGGCAATCTGTTGTAAAATAGTAGTTTAAAATCATGTCAGTTCTTTTCCTAGTTACTGAACTACAAATCTCTAATGTTATGCATGAGTCCATATGTTAAATTTATTAAGTGAATTGGTCTGGGAAATCGAGTCTTTTTAATACATACTTCACTGTGTTTACAATTTTGCGAGTTCACATTCTGTGAAATTACTCTTTATTCTATGCCGTTATAATACGTTTTATGGATCTTCTTGCAATTACAGTCTTGTGCCTGTAATAAAATGTATTAGTGTTTGAGTTTGACTAGCATTTTCCCTTGTAGAATAAATGCGCGGTTTGTGAACACTGAATGTGTTCCTTATAAGCCTTTCACGTTTCCTCACGTTGGGGTGGTGAACGTAATTTATCTTTGAGAAATTTTGATTTGACTCTGCTAGTGATCACAATATTACGGCCTCAATTAAATTTTCGAGTTAGATAAGGGAAGTGAAGTGAAGTGAAGTGAAGAGAAAAACATGTTGAGATATTTTCAGTATATGATTTTTAATTGAATCTACGTGTGTTCTGAATCGACCGATTTGTTGCATGGTTACATTGTAGTAAAACAGAAGACAACACTGTCACAGCATAATCATCAAACGTTTTTGGCACCCATATCTAAATTACTCGTGTTTATTCAAAGGTTTCCAAAATATTTATATTAAATGGCTCCATTTACTCACAACATCGAAGAGCCCGAGAAAAAACCACTGAAAGGGATTTTAAAGAAACCAGAAATGAAGAAAGCCTGTAGGAAATGCCCTAAAAAGCATGTTACGTGGCACTGGTCTGTGGATGCAATGGAGCGTAAGCGAGAAGAACAGAAAAAGCAAAATGAAGACGATGAAATTTTTGCCGACTTGCTGGAGATCATGAGGTGGTGGCACGAAAGCAGAAGATGGAAAAATTGGTAACAATTCGAAATTCCTCTTTCATATCATAAAGACTGTTGTGAATGGATGGAGAACCATTCAGAACACCTTAGTGCTATAAACTTAGTTCAATTTGTTTTCATACATTACATTTTATATTTGGGAAGTAAATTTTTGGTATGGTATTTAGTATCTATTCATTACTAGTAATGAGTATCGTTATTAAAGATACTAAACGAGAGAACAAAATAGTGAATTCATGCATCAGTGTAACAATGGACACGATGAATGTTATTTATCATAATAATTCCTTCTCCGATTCTTTTTCGCAAGTCAATTAGAAATAATCTACAATATGATTGATTCTTGTTTTAATAAATATTGCAGAAGTTTTGAAGTTTAAAGGGTACACTGGACCTGTTTCAGTGGTTGCAATACTTGTCCACTTAGATCATAATTTAAATTTGTTTGTCAACTATTTTAAAGGCATTCAGTAGAAGATTTTAGATTGGAACACGAGAAAGACTCTGTAAAAGTGATATTCGACACAATGGAATATTTTAGTTCGTTTAAAAAACTTGAAACTTGAAAACTAATTTTTTTGTTTAAATATTTAAGCAAGAAAATTGCATGCAATTGTAATTAAAGATAAGACAAAATAATATTTTGATATGAAATAACTTTGTTAAACATGTCACGTTTAAAATTGTCAGTGGTACATGTGCAATTCAGTGTAAAAGTTTGGAAATATTTGACACTCGCGAAAAAATGAGCCCTTTCACACCGTTGCGTTAGATGTGTAGAGTATCACTATCAATATTATCATCATTATTATTACTATTATTATTAGTACTTTTATTATTATTACTATTATATTATTATTATTATTACTATAATCTACTTCAACAAATACAGATTTATATTGTTGAATATAAAATCTACTCGAAAGTGCAGCTTGGAGTAGATGTAGGGACTGTCGGTGTATCTAGAATCGTTGCGCAAAATGTGGGCTGTTCCAAAATAAAGCAATTTCATTGCCCTTTCCGTCTTTTTTCTTCTTGCCTTATTATTGTTTTGATTATTATTATTATTATTATTATTATTAATGAAAATAGCCAAGAAATAGCAAGCCAAAACTGATAATTATGCAGATAACCATTCTGCTGAAGTTGTGTAAAAAGGGCCGAGTATTAGATTTTTTTACGGCAAAATTCATCACAAAAATATTACTCAACAAAACATGTGCGATATGTTTTCGTTTCCAAATAATTTTACAATCAAACGTTATCTTTTCTTCTTTTTCAACCTCCATTATAAATTACTCACCATTGTGTTTTTTTAAACAAACTAATTAAGTTAATAGTAAAATGAGTTATTTCTGACTCATTCAATTCATTTTGGTCTCCTTTCATGTCTCTCTATTCAATTTTTAAAAAATGGGGAATTTCACAGTATCCTAAACCATCACAGTCGTAATTCTAATTCATTTTATATTGGAAACTAGACTGCCAATGTTGTAAAAATGGAAGAATATATTTTATACTGGGTGTCTGGCCTACTAGTGGATGAACACTATAATTTACATAGTTTTCAATTCAAGATATTTACATATAAATAATAGTATTTAGCAATAAATCTAACTCAGAAGTAAAAGTACCATTACTTTAAATGTTTCTCTATACACTAAAGAGTCATTGTACAATTAACCATGTGATTTTCTACGTACACAACAAAACTTACACTTAACGGCGCCATTTTGTCATGTCACTTTCACTGTACTTCACAAGACAACACAAGCCTACTGTACTAGAATAATATTAAGAAATAATTGTAATACTATTAAGTAGTTTTTTAAAATAACGAGGGTAAAATAATCGTAACAATAACAGTTGATTTAGTCACTAAATTAAGTCAGTTTTTATAAGTAAATAAATTATATTTCTAGCTCATAATAAAAAACAGTGTTAGAAAAGGGCGCGTTGAACGATAAACTAAGAGTATGGAATAAGAGATTAGGGGGAAGAAAAGTAGTAAATCAAGAGAAGAAAAAATAGAAGACTTAAAGAATACCTAAGGAAACAAAAACAGAAAAAGAAAAGGAGAAGAAATATAAAGATAAAACAAAGAACTGAGAGAAGGGAGAGTAAAATAAAAGAAGAAAGTACAAAGAGAAGTTAAAATAGAAGAACAGGAGAGGGAGAAACAACACGAATCTGTACGTAATCATTACCCTGGAATTCTGAAAGCGAAGTGTTCTTTACATGAAGTCCCAAACAAATTTTTCCTATTGGCTTTGATTAAATTTTGGGGTTAAATTGTCTGAATTTTCAAAAATCGCCTAAGTTCAAAAGTTTTTCGATGTCTTCCTATAACAACAAAATTGAAGGTATATTTTTTCTTTAATGCAATTTTTCTTCGATGTCAGGTCTCGAAAAAAGCATTTTTCAAAAATTTGAGTTTTCGAATTTTGCTGAAATATAGGTAACTTGTAAACAATTATTTTCTCACAAAAAGCTTCAACTTTAGTTTATTTCCATCTTTGGTTAGAGCATTAAAAATAGCGCAGGTCCAGTTTTCAGCAAACTCTCTGTTTTCGAAAATTAAAAAAAAAAGATTAACATTATCAAAAGTCGATGGAAGAGATTTTCTTTCAAATAAAATCTTTCTTAAAAAATAGATCTTGAAAGAACGTTATATTCAATTTTCTATGCTGGTAAAACAAGACAAAGAATAAATGGTTGTTTTGCAAAATTTGTGCTTGAAATTCATAGATTTTATAATGTTCTCCAACCTAAAAAAAACAAACTCCAATTGTTCTTTGAAGGTTCACCCTGTATTATAATATTCCATAGCTTAAGCGAGCTAAACTGATTTGAAATTGATACTTTGATTTTTGGAGACACTTTACATGAAACTTTAATATTTTCAAAATGTTCCTAAAATGACTACACATTTTTTACTAAACGTTTCCCTCGGATAATGAAATGGACGCTTCAAATGACATAGTTCTAAATTTTGTTGTTTTCTTTGAATATTTGATCATCTGTAACATATTCGCAGAATCTCAAGTTCTACCAAATCGATCGGTTATTATAAACAACACTCTACACAATTTAACTTTAATAACTTCAATGCTGATCAGAATTTTGAAATATTTTTTGGATCTTGAAATAAATAATATTCATGCAAAATCTGGTTCAAAGCAGTAAACGAAAATAATATGTTGCATTTTATTCAATATAAACAATCCTATAACATAATATTCATACATTCAGTAATAAGTGTGCAATTATGTTTATACAAAATAGTGGCACCCTTAATTTAAGTAGGCTTGTATCATGATTATTTTTTTACTAGAACTATAATTGCTGGGGAAGAAAAATTTAGATGCAATAAATGTTGTACAGATGATTTTCCTTCGGCTGCGCATACAATACCGAACACGTACACGCTCGAAGCAGTTTTACACTCGCCAAGGCAGGTAGGAGGTCACCGAACTCCATGGCAAATAAGTTATTTTTCACTGCTGCTCATTAGAGAGCTATGGGACATTCATTTTCAATTTGAATTCTTAAAAACTACATTTAGAACATTTTAGAAATATTGTGTTTTCGAAATTGGCTTTTTAAAATTTGAATTTTCGATTCAATTGTCATAAAAGATTACAGATTTTGATGAAACACCAACTTATTTGTCGATCCCCAGTTTCCTAATGAAGTTTGCTGTTTCTTTCCCTCTCTGAGTACTATTCACCGATCCATTGAGAACGATCATATGCCTTAAATGCCCCTTCCTAAGACAGCCATTGCTTATATAGTGACGCAGCGCAGAGAGAAAAAGGGGGAATACAAATCAACGTCTCCGTGAACTGTGTCAACCCACCCGAGATTTTTCTTTTCTTGTTTCATTTGGAAAGGGTGGGCAACTCCAAAAGACCTCCCAACGGTGCAACACGACTCAGGAGCCGATGGTGACGTTTTCGAGGTAGCGCTTGCGGATAGCCGCGCGGCTTATCTTGCCGGTGGGTGTCTTGGGCAAGGAATCCACGAAGGCCACGCCCCCACGCAGCCACTTGTGTGGAGCCAAGTGGTCTGTGAACACACACACACACACACGCATTGGAGTATCCAATAAAAATGTATAGCTCAGACCACATCACTGTTCAACCAGGGAAAGATCCAGAGACGAATGTTTGGAAGGGAAATTCAAAATATTTTGGTGAAGGTGCCATATGTTTGCCAAGGATATTCTAAATTTCATATGCTACACTGGTTCGTGCTGCAAACCTATCTTATTCGTTTTTTTTATCTGGGGGTATGGAAGATGAAATGATAGTGAGCGATGAAAGGAAGGCTCACATATACATACACAACTCATGCCTGAGCCGGGTCTCAAACCCGCGATCGTCTGGTCTGAGACCGCTATGGCACTACTGCCTAAGCGATCGCGGCCATCTAATCGGTTTAATTCGTTTTAATGGTTATCAGAAAATATTTTGCTTACAAGTTTCATGACAATTTAAAATTCATAGTTTTTGACAAATTTTAGGGGGTGAAGTTTCCCTCATTTTCCTCCCCGTGGATCCGCACCTGGTTCAACTCAAACAAGCAAATCAAAAACTACACCAATTGAGAGACCGGTAACCTCTTACCTCCTTTCTCAAACATCGGGAAGATCTCTAAGTCACTAAATCATTTGGAGGCACGCGATTGCGTTTTCCCTCAACGACATTAAACTATGCTATTAGTGTTTTCTGTCAGTCCGTGTTGCATTATGTTTTCTATGTTCTTCAACAGCCATCTGAAAGAGTTAAACTACCGAACGATATAAAATAAAGCTCTCATTAAAGTTGTTAAAACTACATAAAACATCTTAATGTTGCAATCCTTTGCAAGCTCTGGCTTTGGGTGGCCGTGTTTCCGTTCATCACTCAATTCGCGTTGCACTAGAAATTAATGATAGATTTTCCCACTCTTTGCATTTATTTCCAGGACAACTTGCAAACTTGCAAATTGTTCAAATAAAATCAATTGAATAATTCCGCCATTAAAGTTAAATTTCATTTCTTTGTAATTTTTTTATATTTTTCCAAAAAAATGATAAAAAATAAGTGAAACGTTTAATGAAATAAACGAGAATAAAGATCCCTTCTCCCCATTTTTCAGACTGTGCACGTTTAAAACATAAAAACTATTTACTGATTAATAATTCCGCGCGCGTCACCTGCTAAGGTCATTGATTCCGTTAGCGAAAGTTTTATCGCGGGAGGTGACGGTCTCCCGACGCTGGATGGCGAGATCTGGCGCTGAACTACCCGTTCACTTGCGGATTGTCTCCAACTAGGAAGGTGCGGGTTTTCTGCGACAGCCGGGCAATGCCCCAGCTGGGACAAGCCCCGCGCTCCCGACTGGTCTCCTACATATGTGGTAATGTAATGCATGTTAGGGTAAGGAGTGAAGATAGCGCAAGAAAGAGGAAGGAAACATCGCGTGCGGGCTGTGGCCCGTTTGTGAGGATATTGCGCGGGGTTTCGACTATTAATCAAAGAAAGCAGAGAAAACTACCGATCAGAGCCTCCGGTTATTTGAATTTTCCTCCAGACAGCGGCTAACGTCGAGCTCGCTATGTAGCCAGCGTCGAAAATTCTGCCACCATCGGGAGTGGATCTTTAGGACCTCCCACTTAGAAAATCTGCAGTGATGTCAATTAATGTCATGAGCCACCTAAGTCGGTTTGCCGCACAACGGTGAGTCCCCAAAAGAGAAGAGCGAAGCTGCCATTACCTTCCACGACCTGGCAGAGGTCTTGCGCGGTGACTTGGGCGCCGGGTCGTAGGACAACGTAGGCCCTGGGCAGCTCGTCCTCCGTGGAAGGGTCCAGCACGCCCACCACCGCGCTCTCCAGCACAGCGTCGTGGCGATCCAGCAGGCCCTCGATCTCCACCGGCGACACCTGCGCAGCGACACTACTCACACACCTGGCTAGTGGAGCTAGAATAATACAACTTTCTCTCCAGCACAGCGTCGTGGCGCTCCAGCAGGCCCTCGATCTCCACCGGAGACACCTGCGCAGCGCCACCCCTCTCACACACCTGGCTAGTGGAGCTCACCTACCTGCTAACCCATTCACCCACCAACTCACCCACCCAAACCACCACTCACCCATCCACCCATTCGCCTAACCTCTCACCCACTCACACAACTTCTTGCCCACTGACTCACCCAACCACCCACTCATTCACTCAAAAACCAACCAACCTACCACCCACCCAGTCATCCACTCACTCACCCACGCCACCCGTTGGCTGCTGAACTCACGTGCACGCCGCGGTACTTGATGGTGTCCTTGATGCGGCCCGTGACAAAGAAGATGCCGTCCTCGTCGAAGCGAGCCAGGTCCCCGGAGCGCAGCCAGCCGCCCTCGTCGAACAGCTCGGCCGTGGCGCGCGGGTTCCTCAGGTAGCCCTTGGTGACGCCCGGGCCCTTGAAGCGCAGCTCGCCCTCCTGGCCCACGCCCACTGCCAGCTCGGTCTCCGGGTCCACCACCTGCACACGGCGTGGTGTTGTTACTCGCGCACGGACTAGACAAGGTGGAAGCAGTGCGTTTCCGACTTCTACGAAAACTAGTGGCGTTAAACCAGCAAGTACTTCCTCGGCTGTGTTTTCAAGCAAAATTAAACGAAATTTACTTAAATTTTCGAACAATCGTTCATGATTTCATTCCAAAATTTATCTTTAAGGAACAGAGGACTTCATTAAGCGAAAAATCTATATCTATCATATTTTAGTTGTGGAAAGACTGAAAAACTGTTATCTTTTGCAATTTTCGAATAATTAGGGTTTTCTACGAATATGAGACCTGCAGTATTCTCTTAAACGTTCTTTACAGTAAAAAAAGAATCAAAATAGATAGATCAAGTATTTTCGAAAATGTCTCAGGGTCTTCATGTAAAGTACCCTCAAAAATTAAAATATCGATTTCAAATTCAAAGGGCCAAAGTTAGCCAGATCAATTATGGGATTACAATTTTCGAGACAATTGGCTGGACGCTTTAGCCGATAGCGTTGTTCACAGACGAACAGACTGACAAACTGCCTTTTTGCCGTCATTCAACGTTTCGGTATGTAGGACACCAAAACGTGAATCCTGCTACTGCAAAACGTGAATCTCTACTCCGTAAAGAGAAAGTAAAAATAATTGCCAGGCCATTTTCAGGCATTTTTCAACGACTCTTTTTAACATGACGTTCCTTTGTGAACAATCTGGACTACAAGAACAATCTATGGTAAAAAGTTTACAGAATTTAGAGTGCACGAACTTCTGGCCTGCGGCCACCGTCTGCCCTGTATCCGGGTCCATGAACTACCCAAGGCATAGTGCTTTTAGTCGCAGGCGAAGAGTAGGGAAAGTGCAAGAAGTTCGTTTCGGTATTTTAACAAACAAACAAAAAAAAAGAATTGCAAGATCATTGGCAGGTTTTTTAACGTCTCGTTTTAGCATGATGTTTAATTGTGATTAATTATAAGCTCTATGAACAACCTGTGGCAAAAGATATGAAGGGTGCTCCCTTTAGTAGCTGATAACACATTAAAACAAGCGTAGCTTTCAGTATTTTAAAAGCATAAAGTTAAATATTTTTATTATTAATATTATTTTTCTCACGCCATTTGAGTTAAGTGAATTAATTTCTTGCTTTAATTTCTAATACTTTCAAATAAATATGAGGATATTTATAAATATGAGAAATGTATTTTCTTATTATCTTTTTAATGCTTTGGATATACCAATCTTCATCTTCATACTTTTATTTTGGTTAGCAGTAATGAATTGCAATGTGTTAAAAAATATTCAATACAAATAATTTAGTCATTCAATGTTATAGATGTTTCAACAAACTTTTGTCTGCATAACTAGTACAGAAATAAATTAAGATAGTTGAAATAATCCCATTTTTATTTCTATTGGATATTTCTGTGTGGTAAAAAAATCTTAGTAACGTTATTGCAAACTTTATGAGTACATGCCAATAATCAATTACAATACTTTTAATTTAAATTTTCAATACCAGAAAACATCAACAATTATTTATAGGGAAACATCAAGATAGTAAGTCCTGGTTCCGCTACTGGTCTGAAGACATTCTCTAACAGATGACCAGCAAGTGAAATATGAAACTGTGTTGAATCAATGAAACTGTTCAGTACACAAAAATCGTATACTTAATTACATATTTCCTTATAATACATTGAAAGAAGTAATTTATTGAGCGAAATATGTAAAGAGTAAAAAAATGGCTGCCTGGTTCCAATGTAACATTTTTGAAAGATAACACATTTTTACATTGTTCCAGAGCAAGTATTCCCTGGAAAATCTCAGTGAAAAGAATGGCCAAATCATCTGGCAATTCATATTTTTCTTCAGTCTGAAAACTACATAAACATGTTTCGGATGTTTCCGTTTTTAATATGTTGGTTATGGCACCGTTTTATTATGTTGAATTCGTTTGCATGAATATTGGAATTTTTCCAATTTCAGATGTCATGATGAAACCAGTGTGTCTTTTATAATTATATGTAAATATACTAATTTAATGCAAAATATATTTAAATACATGCCTAAAAACTAACACGTGATGGCAATAGATGCATTCCGTTTTTTTTACTGAAGATCTCACCTTGCATTGAACGAAGGGGCACAGCTTTCCCACGGAGCCGGTCTTGTGCGGCGCGTTGTGCTTCGTTAGCCCCAGCACCACGCCCACTTCGGTCATTCCGTAGATCTGCTGCACGCGGCACCTGCAACGGGTTACCTCAGCCCCGCCGCTCCTCGCGACTGTTGGCGCTGCCTTGCTGGCCGAAACGAGTCTCCTAATACATCCCATTGTTTTACTGCGTTTGGACAGTTTGTTAGACGAACCGCCAATTTAATTTTATTTTATTTATTAAATGAACACATATCGAAAACGACTATAACCTCTAAAAGAATTCAACCTGGAACCAATAGAAACATTTTGAATGCTTTTATTTTAGATGCATTTTATACCAATTGTTCAAAGCTTCTACCGGATTATGTAGCTTAAAGCATCACTGATGTCGCCTTAGTGCCTATGACCTGCAGGTTCTACGATTCCAGTCCCGACGATGGCACGACACCAAATTTGATGATGGATAAAGCAGTGAAAATTTGGTAAATTTCCCGGATGAATTTGTAGTCCTTTCGCTCTTTCATGAATGCGTTCTACGTGTGTATCAATGATGGTCAGGACTTGATAAGTGTATATGCTAGACAGTAAATTCTTTTTTAGCCCTAATACATCTCATTGTTTTACTGCGTTTGGTTTGTTGGATGTATCGCTAATTTAATTTTGATTTCATGTATTAAATGAACAAATATCGAAAACGTCGATAATCTCTTAAAGAATTCAACATGGAGCCAATGAAAAAATTTCGAATGCTTTTATTTTAGATGCATGTTATACAGATTGTTCAAGGGTTCTATGTATTGGCTTAGATGGCTCAAAGCATCACCGATGTCACTTCACTGGCTATGATCTAATGAGTCTAGGGTTCGAGTCCCGACGATAGCACGACACCAAATTTGATGGTGGATAAAGCAAAGAAAATTTGTTAAATTTTCCGGATAAAACTGTAGTTCTTTTGCTCTTTCATGAATGAGTCCTTTCCGTGTATGAATCATGGCCAGTGCTTGATAAGTGCATATGCTAGACAGTAAATTCTTTTTGAGACTTAATTTTTGGAAAAGGGTGTTGACTGATTCAAAAATGGCATATCAGTAGTTTATTCTTTTAACTGCTCAAAAGACAATTTATTTGTGGTGCCAAAATCTGCATCAACTTCTCGAATAAAATTGCTGGTTGTGCAGTAACGATGCATCAGTGCTATCAGAGACACTAGCCGAAGGCTGAAGACGCAAACGGTTGCGGCAGCCGTTGTCTGCGCCGCGGAGGCTGCAGGTTCGAATCCAGCGTAGAGTCGTATTTGTGATGGTTCCTTCATCCCGCATCATCATCACATCACCTAATAATTCACGCTTCAAGGCGTAACGCCCTTGTACTGATGAATACAGCTGAAAAGCTGAGTGTGTGTGTGTGTGTGCTAAGAAAGAGAATGGTAAAATAATGAAGAAGCAAAAATTCGACACTCGTTTGTTGGGTATCAAATCCACCATTAGCTTAGTAGTGATCGGATAAACTACGTAAACCACTCGTTCTGAGCAACTGAGCCGCTAGAATTCGTCTCCAGATCAGTTGAGTTCGATCCAGATACCTAGCTAGTCGTCAATCCGCCACCGTTGGATCACGATTCATGGATCTTCCCAGTCATAAACGCTGCATGGACAATTACACTGATGACACAGATCTATCGCCCATCAAGGCGAAAGAGAACCTTGGCGGCTTCGATGGAATAACGGTTGACGTATCGGGATGTTATATCCAAGTTCGCGGTTTCTTACCCGATCAAAGCGGTGAATTTTTAAATACGAAAAAACACTTCGTATGCCTACTGTCGGAGGGGAAGTAAAGTCGGCTGTCCCATATTAGTAGACCACCTTGGCGGTGGCCTAGTCATAGTTTTTTTCCGCTAGATGGTGAAAGAAGTATAGCGAAATTTCTTGGTCAGACGGAAGTGTAATTCTAATGGTCTGAGTCTCGCCATAATTGAAATGAAGAGTTTTCCTACAAGTAACAAAATAAAAAGTCCAAAATTCTATATTTTGATATAATACATCAAGCTATTCCTACAACTGCTGTTATTCACTGGAACATTTCTTTTCGGAAAATGACAAACATGAAAGTTATAAGACTGGGAAAAACCTTTAATTCATTACTATGCAAGTCTATGATATGAATATTTTGGTGCATTTTGAAAAATATCCGATTTGGATAAGTTTGGTTCTCGTATGAAACCTTTCCATTAAATTAAATGCTGACGACTCACCTGGGACTTACTGCACCAATTCATTGAACTGAATACTAGCAACTCACGCAGTGACACGTTGCACTCATTCAATGAATGACATGCTCGTGACTCACCCGGAGACGAACTGCACCAATTCATTGAATTGCATGCTGGTGGCTTACCTGAAGACGCACTGCACCAATTAATAGCATTGAGCGGTGGTGACTCACCCGGTGACACGCTGCATCACACGAGCGTGTCACCAATTGACTGAATTGAGCAATCTTTGCGCTTACCAATTCATTGAATTGAGCTGCACTAATTCATTGAATGGCATGCTCGTGACTCACCCGGAGACGCACAGAACCTATTCATTAAATTGCATGCTGGTGGATCACCTGGAGACGCACAGCACCAATTCATTGCATTGCATGCTGGTGGATCAACTGGAGACGCACTGCACCAATTCATTAAATTGCATGCTGGTGGATCACTATGTGACGCGCTGAACGAATTCATTGAATTGCATGGTGGTGGCTCACCCGGAGACGCACTGCACCAATTAATTGCATTTAGTGGTGGTGAATCATAAGCAATTAACTAAATTACCAGTGACTGTACTTACCAATTCATTGAATTGAATTGAATTGGGTGGTGGTGACTCACCCGGTGACACGCTGACCACGCGAGCGTGTCACCAATTGACTGAATTGAGCAATGATTGCGCTTACCAATTCATTGAATTGAGCTGCACTAATTCATTGAATGACATCATCGTGACTCACCCGGAGACGCACAGCACCAATTCATTAAATTGCATGCTGGTGGATCACTCTGTGACGAGCTGCATGAATTCATTGAATTGCATGGTGGTGGCTCACCCGGAGACACACTGTACCAATTAATTGCACTGAGTGGTGGTGAATCATAAGCAATTAACTAAATTACCAGTGACTGTACTTACCAATTCATTGAATTGAATTGAATTGGGTGGTGGTGACTCACCCGGTGACACGCTGCACCACGCGAGCGTGTCACCAATTGACTGAATTGACCAATGATTGCGCTTACCAATTCATTGAATTGATCTGCACTAATTCACTGAATGACATCATCGTGACTCACCCGGAGACGCACAGCACCAATTCATTGCATTGCATGGTGGTGGGTCACCCGGAGACGCACTGCACCAATTAATTGCATTGAGTGGCGGTGAATCATAAGCAATTAACTAAATTGCCGGTGACTGTACTTACCAATTCATTGAATTGAATATTGTATTGAGTGGTGGTAGCTCACCCTGTGACGCGCTGCACGAGCTCCTCAGCGTCGCGGCTCATGGCGGCGCCCGTGGGGATGAGGGTGCGCAGGCTGGAGAGGTCGTGCTCCGGCGACTCCTCGCGCGCTTTCGCTATCGCCAGCAGGAAGTTGTTGCTCGTGAACAGGATGCTCGGCTGCGGACACACACACACAAACCCCGTTTCATTCCGTTCCCACTTTCTATTTTTTATTCATCTATATCCGCATCGACATCAAGGCCATTAGTGACTAAACAGATATAGGCACTTTTCAATTACAATATAAAACTGAGAAACATATTTATTGTTACAAGAGTGTAAAGAAAACAAACAACGAGATTATAGTAAGTAGTTCCTCCAAATGCTATAGACAATGTTGATTTCTTTAATGATAGCAATAATTTTTTATTGATGATCTTTAAATTAAGAATAATGTTGTATTTGCCTTGTAATTACTGTTTTTGTCTGGTAATTTTGTATAGTGAGCAGTAAATTAATTTGTTTCACATTTGAAAAAACTTGACAATTGTCACATTTAGGAGGAGGGTTTCCAGTTATTCGCGCACATCGGTGGTGAATAGTTAGATCACTAGTCTCTGAATCCCTAGAGCGCGGGTTCCATCCCGGGGTTCGATCCCGGCCAAGGTGCGTGTAGTTTCGTAGTTTCGTTGTGAAAACCCATAGTAGCCATGACACTCTTGTGGCATGTAAAAGAACCCTGGCGGATGCCCGGCAAAATTAAATCCCTCTGACAATATCCCCTCCCAGACAGATAGTTCGGATGTAGGTAACTGACACCGACACGTCGCGGAGAAAGTGAGAGTCACACCTCAGGAGTATCAAGGGACCACCCGCGAGGCGCGCTTGCTCGAAAGGTCCTCAGACCCTCGTCGAAGGTAAGTTTGCAAGGAACCCAGGCCGAAAAGGAGGCTGGCATCTAACTGCTTTGAATATCCTCTTAGGGGGATTATCGAGGATCGCACGCAATCTACTCGAATGTATTAATACTACTTCTTTCCAGTCATAAGATGCTTTATTTTAGAGTGTTTCGTTCTTGATCTAATATTCTATTTTTTTAACAACCAGTTCTCTTCTATCTTTTCCCATAACTTATTTTTTATTTTAGTAGAATAAATGGTACATTAAGAACATTATTATTTTTAAGTTTTTCTTTTCAAATATTAGAAAATCTGTAGTTTGTTCAATTTTCCTTTATATTGTACTTAAACTCTTCTGAGGGAAAGCTAACAAATCGATATTATTTATTTATTTATTTATTTATTATTTAATTTATTTTTATTTTATTTATTTATTTATTTATTTATTATTTATTATTTATTTATTTATTTATTATTATTATTTATTTATTTATTTATTTATTTGTTATTTAATTATTTATTATTTATTTATTATTTATTATTTATTTATTATTTATTTATTTATTTATTTATTTATTTTATTTCATTTATTTATTTATTTTTTATTATATTTATTACGTCAAATAACAGTTAGAAACTGTGTGGAACGAGCTCAGGGCAGAAGTTAAATTGAGTTTACACTTTTGTCCAGAAGCATTGCTCGAATCAGGAATGGACGAAAACTGATCTGGCACAAAGAGGAAGTATTTACAAGTACCTTGTATTGTCAATGGCTAACAAGAACTCTCTCTCGGCTGCAGCCATGTTCGTAGATGAGCTTCAGAGCAGATTAACATGGAGATAAGCGTGCTAATAAGTCCCGGCACCCAGAAGCCAGGATGCTATGACCATTTTGCAATCTCATTTCAGGGTTAGAATCCTCATTGCCTTCAAACAAAACCAGACCAGCAATTTTGAGAATTTTGTGGTAAAGTAACATGTTACGTGATGTTCTTTTGGATGTTTTAATTCGGAAAACATTTTAAATTGTTCATGTTCACTGTTTTGGTTTTATTTCCAAAATTCACATGGTATTGTATTCTAAGAAACATTCTCAATAAATCTTTAAAGACAGATACATCTTAGGGAAAAATTATATCTTAATATTTTAGTTGCAGAAAATCCTAAAAAAATGTTGAACTTTTACATTTTCGAAAAGTCAGGGGTGTTTCGAAAGTCATTTTCGAACGAATAAGTAAGCACCATTCTCTTAACGCTCTCTAGATTGTCATACAAAAAAACGTAATATAAAAATGATGCAATAATTGAAAAATGAACGAGTGACTTCTTGTAAAGTATCCTCCCAAACTAAAATATCGGTTTTCAAATTCAGGGCCTGCGGCATCAGCCAGTTCGAATTTCGGCATTTTTCAACTTTTAAGGAAAAATGCTGAACGTTTAGGACGTTGTTCACGACGACAGACAGAGGACAGACGTCAATCAATTCCGTTCAAGGACCTACAAAAGAAGATTCTGGTTACGACAGTATTAGAAGATATTTAGCATATAATTTATCCCTTTCATATCAGTGGTTCCTGTAAAAGAGTTTTTCTGCAAAATTCACCGTTTATTTGCGCAGCGTTGCATAGAATTTCTCAGTACTCGTGGCGAGTAAAAACTGTAAACTCGTCAAACTGCCCAGCAACAGGAGGGGGAGCGGAACTCACTGATGGCGTCGACGGCTGCGCGCGAGTTGAAAGTGCGAGAGGACGACGCCCTTGGCAGCCGAGTGCCGGAGAGCAGCAGACGAGGGCACATTACCCGAGGGGCGCGAGCGATCGCTTTCGGGCGGCGCGGCAGCGGCGCGCGGCGCGAGCGGGACGCAGTAAGCCCTCCCAGTCGGGACACGTCGTCCAGGCGATGAGGCGCGGCGACGCCCACGGCTCGCCCTCGGCGCGCGCGCCTCCCTCCGCCCTCCGCGCGTCCTCCGCCTCGAGCGACGGCGAAGAGCGGCGCAGGCGGTCGGCGGGGCTGCGCGCGAACACCAGGCCGGCACACCATGCCCAGCAGCATGCGAAGTTCCCTGCGCACCCCACACTATTTCATTGTGCACACTAGATGACTGCGGGGTTTCAGGTGGTCATTATCCATTCCCCATCCCCCCACGCTCTGGCCAGGCCTGTCCTGCCCGTCCCGCCCCTTCGCCCCCCGTCCCGCCCCGTTCCGTCCAGTTCCGGCCCGTTCCGGCCCGTTCCGGCCCGTTTCCGGCCCGTTCCGCCCGTCCACCCCGTCCCGCCCGGCACCTGCGTTCCGTCCCGTCCCGCCCGTTACTTCCCGTCCAGACCTTCAACTCCTGTCTCGTCTATCGCTGTCTAGGTCCTGTCCAGTCCCGCCCGCCCACCTTGCCCGTCCCCCCCGTCCCGTCCCGTCCGCCCCGTCCCGCCCGCCCCGTCCCTCCCGTCCCGCCCCGGCCCCGTCCCGTCCCGTCCCGTCCCGTCCCGTTCCCTCCCTTCCCGCCCGTCCCGTCCGTCCCCGCCCCGTTTCGGTCCAGTCCCGGCCCGTCCCATTCCGTCCCGTTCCACCCTGCCGTGTTCCGTCCCGTCCCGCCCGTCACTTCCCGTCCAGACCCATCAACTCCCGTCTCGTGTAGTCCTGTCTAGTCCTGCCCAGTCCCGTCCCGTGTCAGGGGGTTCAATCATAACCTCTCTTTTGTTCCAACCTCCCGCTCCCTGACTATCGTCTTATCGACCATTCACACCCTCCCTACCTGTTCCTCTCTGCTCGTCGCATTAGACCGGTTGCCAGGTTGCCCGCATTGAATGAATCGCGAACTACATTGCCAATTTTTTTTACATACATGACCCATTTTAATCCACATACTTTTAAGTGATAGATTTTCTTATCCCCATTTTTTTCAGTGACAAGTTGTATACCACATTTGGTTAACATTTCTCCAGACGTTCGCGAGTTACACAGGAATACAGACACACACAAAGACCCATATTTTTGTTAAGAGTGTTTCTCTCCTTGCGAAAAGCACACGCGGTGCCAAGATGCCCAGCGGCGGGCGGAAGTCCTCTGTGCAAGGGACACGCCACTCAGTACACCATTATTATGCACACCTGCTGACGGCGGAGGGTTGCCAGGGTGTTCACTCATCACTCCACTTGTCCTCCTCCTTCTGACCTACCCTTCCCGTCTGACCATTCCACGATTCACCGTGTCCGCTATGTTCCCTGCACATCGACTGACTACACAATCGTCGCCAGGAGATGCACTTTACTGTGCCCTCCTGACCCGTTCTCTTTGCCCGTCCCAAACACGCCCTTCTACCAGCTCTGTCTGTTACGCCCTTCTCACCCTTCCTCTATTTCTGTCCCGTTCCGCATTGAATGATTTGCTAACTACATTCTTATTTTGTTTATACCTTATTTTGTTTGTTTATTTGTTTGTGTTCCATTTTTATCTATACACTTTGAAGTGGTAGAGATCCTTACCTCAACTGTTCTTTTTTTTCAGAAATAAGATCATACATTTCCCGATTTGGATTATTTTTTTTGAAAAGTTTGAGAATCAAACTGTAATACAGACACACACAAGAATTTATATTTTTCTTAAGATAACACGCTCCTTCCCTTGCGAGAAACACTCGCGGTTTCAGAATATCAAGCAGCAGGCTGAAGTTTCGTGCGCTCCGTCCGCCCCTTCATCATGCCCACGGTAGATGTTTCGGGGGTTGTATACGCATTTTCATCCGCTGCTAGTAGGCTTTAGGTCATAAGAAGCAGTTGTGCTAAAGTATACACATGCTGGTTTTATTATTATTATTATTATTATTATTATTATTATTATTATTATTATTTTATTGTTATTATAGGGTGGGTATAAGGAGCGAAAAGATTAGGATGATGGTAGAAGGTGTTAGGTGGGGTAGTGGGAGTCGCTCGTAGGGTTTTGGAACCATCCTATCATTCGCCTCGAGACCGAAGGAAACCATGAAAACCCGGGTCAGGATGGCCGTCCCGGGGATCGAACCCGGACCTCCCGATTGCGAATCACTTCATTACCCACTTCGCCCGGAATACTCATTTTCATTTTTCAGGTTACCCCTCACCTGAATGCTCTGTGCGCGATGGCCCTCCTTTACGACCTCCCCTCCCGCTGAACCTTCTCCCTCTGCTCCGCTTTCTTATCCGCTCTGACTAATTCGGTTGTTCCAATGTGACCTGCACCATACTTTTAAGCGCTCTTTACGCTATTCGAGAACAAAGTTTAATCAGCTCTTTTTTATGGGATAAG